CAAAAAGAGGCAAATTCTCAGAAATGCACCTTCTTTAAAGGCTCTTTTTCCTTTAGAATCTTTCTGAACTATTTTCAAAAAAAGGCTTTGGCAGTGACTCGGTTTTCCATATATAACAAACCGATAAATGCGTTTACCTTTGATTTCTAATCTTCAAAACCTCGAAGAAATCAAAATTCAGCTGCTTTGTTTAACCACCTCCTTACAGCTTATTTACAGCCAGTTACGTGGCTTTTTTTTCAAAAACAAAAGTATAGCGAGCCCATGGCCAGGCACTACCGCAGGAAAGAAGCGGTCTAAAAATTGTGAGTTTACAATCTGTTAACTGTCTAAAAACCATCTAAAAGCTATTTGGTTGACCTATAAAATTGACCGTTTATAGGTCTTAAGAAAATCCTGTGTAAAAACAGCCAGTAAGCTGAAAATCTAAAAACAGTCAGTTAACTGTCTGTAAATGAGCCGTTAACCGCACAGTTAACTGGCTGTTTTTTGGATTTTCAGTTTACTTGCAGTTATTAGACGGTAGTGTTGCAGACCTGAAAACAACCAATAAACTAGACAGTTTTTAGGTGGTTTTTAGACAATTAACAGGTTGAACTGGCAATTTTTAGGCAGACTGTAAACTGGCAGTTAATCAGGTTTGTTGCCTGTCTTTTCTCTCCTGGGTATTCCTCTTTTTTTCTTCGAATAGTGCTAGTAGGTGAAGCACGCAGATGTACTTTAGTTTCAGTTGTATTCCTCTTTTACAAATAATAGTCTTTGTCTTTAAATTCATTTGAACAACTATTGATACATTGTTTTTTTTATTAATTAACTGTTCAAAACGACCATATTTTTGAAAATGGCTGCAAGAAAAAAGATCTGTTTAGTCAGCGACGGTTCTGGTCATAGTGATGAATTTTTGTCTTAATGGTCTAGACGATAAACGGAAGAAGAGCTGTTTGCCAAAAGCAAAACGGTTGCATAGTACATCGCGCAGACAGATCCAATATCCTGGCAAATATTCTGTATAAAACGCATGTTAAAAGCATTGCAAAAGTCTTTACGAGGATTTCAATCCAAAGAAGGACAACATGGTCTGTATTTCGTGCTGGAAAAACTAAACCAATCAAGAATGGACTTCAACACATCACAGTACAACAGTCAGTTCTGCTATACAACAGGTGTTATTCGAGCATTCGTGTGGACAATTTATCAAAAAGTACTATTAACGGTGGTGCTAATAAGATTGAAAAATAGTGCCAGTTATGTTTATTAAATAATCAAAAACCAAAATTTAATTGTCGACGTCATGTAGTAATACCTGGAATTATTCGTCGCATTACATCATATATTAAAGAAATTCACAAGTCACTATGAAGAACAAGTCCATGCAAATCGTTACAAAATAAATGGAATGACCTGTGTATAGCTCAACTATTTGGTGCCCAATAAGCATGAGATAAACCACGTTTAAATGGAAATAATCGTGAGAGTACTTGTGACAATTGATTCTGTAATCAACAGATAAATAGGAACCTTCTGAAGTCTTTCATAATTTGACTTACCATCACGATGAAGGGACCAAACAATAACATAAATGGAATGATTGTGACATAACCAAGAGCAGTAAGGTGTGTTATAAATTTTAAAAATGAATGAGCTAATTAGATAGAGAAGAAGTTGATATGAAGAAGAGAATTCGTTTGTATTACTTACTGTGTTTTACACAAAAATTATTAAATAAAAATACAATATAAGGTGAAGCAATATATAAAAATAAATGTTTAAAATTGAGTAATATTGAACACCGTACATCATCCGTCACAAATAGATTCTAAAATTACAGATATTAGCATTATTGTACCCCTAAACAGTCAACAATCTGCCTGGTATATAAAACTAACTGATAAATAAAACTTAATTTTAGTTGATTTGAGTCTAATGCGTGTAAATTAAAGCTAATGGCACCAGTGCACCAAAACTCAATCTAGTTGGTGTCAATAGCTTTAACTGGCACCAATTAGACGTATCAATAGCTGTAGTTGACACCGTTTACTGGTGTTAATAGCTTCTTCGTCACACCAGCGGTGATGTCGATAGCCATTCCGTATTTTCTATAACTATTTATTTCTCCTCATACATGAAAACACACCTTAGTGTGATCAAAGAAGTACAGAGAAAAATAAACCGTTTTCATACCAGAACTGTTTACGATATGTGATCTTGTACGGAAATAATTGTAAGATTAAACAATAACCATTTCCCCACGATACTCTACCTAGGTATATGTCAACCAAATACCTTTATTCATGGAATTTATTGTTTAAGAAGAAAAAATGAATTTTCTTTTTCGATTTTTTAAGCTAAACTATTGCCGCTGCGCGCAGTTGCGTTTATTCAGTAACATTGCGCTATTGGTAATTAAGAGTTACCCACAGTTGCAGAACATTTCATTTTGTAGAGAAATGTTTACTCTATAATACTCACCGGCCCAAAAAAATGTAAGGTTAATTGTATCAAAAGTGTATTCCGTCTAAAACAGTGGAACTGTTCCCGAGAAAGTTCCTGGGTTTGTCAATACTCGTGTTTTCAACATGGTTATTTTTGCAAGTTTTTGAACCAGTGAGTATTGTAGAGCAAGCATTTCTCTGCAAAATGAGATGTTCCACAACTCTGAGCCTTTCACCAAATCTTTTTTGTGAATGTTTTAGATCTTAATTCAACACCAGAGGTAACTTTTTATAATCCACGGTTTCACATTTAGCATTTGAATGTGACCGCAGAATGAGTACTGACTGGTTTTTGAACGCGTGAAATCTCTTTTCAAACCGCCGAGAAAGAAAATCCGGTTTCTTTTGCCATCCTGTGTTTGTGAGTAATGAGTGTTGTGAAATTCAGAACATAAACGCTTTTCATGATATCACCGCTAATGATAGTATGATACGCAACAAGCCAGTTAAGTTAATTAAATAAGTAATTTAAAAGTTTTCGAACATGGCAGGGAGTTCCATAGTTTAGTCGTAATTGCTGACTTAGTTCGATAGTTCATTGTGCACCCCGTTTACAAAGAGCGGGAACTGCTGAGAATCGTTGAAAAATTTAAAATAATTTTATAAAGTAACTTAGATTGTTTATTTTGTCCTCTTTAAAACAGAGTCGTGTCCTACCAGTAAAAGTGCCAATGAAATCGGAGAAGGAAAATAAAAGCATTTTACTTCAGTAATCAGCATTAAAACGTGTTTGTCTACTGACTGAAACATTTTGAAAGATAATGATGGTTAACAACGTTTTTAACTCTTTCTAACTATGAGGCGTATTTCTGTGACATAACTCGGTAAAGAAAAAAGCTTTTCACAAGCGGTTTGCACCAAAATGTTCTCCGCTTTCTCTAGTATATTTGTAGATAAAAAAAGTTAGAAATATTTATTGGAAATTTTATAAGATTTAAACTATACCATGACGCACATACATATAATCGTATCGCAGTGTGCGGACGTACTGTATTGTCTCCAATTAGGAAGTATTTTAGACCTTTGTGGCTCTTTGGGGGGGTTCGAAAAATCTTTTACGGATTTAAAGGATATGATGACGTAGAATCGTGTGCCATTGCGACGTCCATGGATGTAGTCACCTGGCAGTGCGACGGACGGCATACATACAGTCGTGTGGCACTGTGAAGGACGTACTTAGATATAGCCACGCGGCAGTGTGACGGACGTATACACGAACTGCCGTGTCGCAGTGTGACGGCCGTAGATACATGTAGTCATGTGGCGCTGTGACGGGCTTGAGATTTGCATCATTACTAGCAAAGGCAGTACATAACAAAAAGACAAATGTGTCAACAGACCGAAAGCAATTAGATTTTTACCATCTAAGTGTCAATCCAATCGAATAAAAGAAGAATTTTTTTCTGCAGATACCTAAACGTACATACAATCAAAAAGTTAGTCTTAATTCAATATTGATGACTTTTCATTTACGTCATGAATGGCATTTGTAACTAATAAGAATCAATTTCAGTATCTTAGAACATCTTTTTGAGTATTCTAGGTTCCGTTTACGTGTATTTCTGGTGCCACAGAACCAAAAATTGGTTCTTATTAGTAACACATGCAGATACCCTTAAACGTATCTTTTGGTTTTCCAGGTTACCTTTACGGGTATTAAATCCGACAGTTTCAATTGTTTAATTGCAATTGAGCATATTCTTGAAATAATTGAAAACTAAAAGGAATTAGGAAACGATTTCTCTTTAGATACTCAACAAATACGGTTATGTTCATGATCTATGTTATATCACGGCGCGGGATTAACGTATTACTTTTGTGCTAACATATCGTTGTTCAAATGCAAATTGCTACTGAATATGCGTGTTACCTTATAAAATAGAAATACATGTTCCTATGTACATTAATTATTTGTGCATTGAGAGAAGAAAGGAAACGGAAAGAGCGATTTATTGCGCGAATTCAGTGTAAGATACTATTTTGCAAAATGTGTCGATGGTCGGATTAAATTGTTGGAACTCATCAGGTTTAGACTGCTGTAGCAATTAGTACGATGTATCATCAAACAAGGCAGTCGTGCAGCTTGTATGTTCTACAGCCGCCTGTCGAAGATGTTTCAACATCCACAGGGTCTCGTCGCAGTACTGAGAGGCGCTCCTGGGCTATCGGTAACCATCTTGTTTTGTTCCTAGGCTACCCACCTATCAACAGGACTCTAAAATTTACGGGCTATAAAAAGATCAGAAAATCTTTACCTTACACCGAAAG